TGTCTGCCCCTTCCCTGGCTCCTTCTGTTCCTGCTCTCTTCTGCGTTTGTCCCTCTAGATCCTTGGGGGACCCCCTAAACCGACTGCACAGCAACTTGCCTCCTCTGTATTTCCTTGGCTCCCATCTCACATTTCCTACTTGGTATGCCCCAAGCACAAGGCCCCACTTGTGCTTTCCTTTTCCATGTATCAGGCCTTTATTTATGCCAACCGTCAAATCACATCCAGTTTTGGACAATAATAACCTTAATAATAATGACATATATTGTATTTACTAACACAAGTGCCATTTGCCCTCTAAACAGTTCACATAGGGATCCCTGGGTGGCTCAGCGGTTTAGCGTCTGCCTTTGGCCAGGGCATGATCCTGGAGTCCCGGGATCAAGACCCACATCAGGCTCCCTGCATGGAGCCTACTTCTCCCTCTGCCTGTGTCTCTGCCTCTCTCTCTCTGTGTCTTTCATGAGTAAATAAAAATCTTTAAAAAAATAAAAATAAACAGTTCACATAGACTAAATTCAGTGTACCCTTAAAACTGCCTAAGGAGGTAGGCCCTATTTTTACAGTTAAGCAACTTGCCCCAAACACACAGCTTTAAGTGGCATGCTGAGGATCTGAACCTAGGCCCAGAGTGTTTCTTCATCGTTGCCCTCCACTCGGGAGAGCCATGGCTTGACCCCAACCGGCTTGGGGGCTCCCACTCAGCCTCTTCCATTCTCCATGCACACCATTCAATCCCAGCGCCAGACCTTTACCCACGGAACACCTGCCACCTGGAAAGCTCTGTGCATCTCTGGGCATCTGAATCTTAGCCTTTTCTCAGCCTTTGTTGCCACTGCTCTTCTGGGTCATCACCACTGCCCTGGTTCACAGTGGTCTCCAGCTGGGTGCAAATCCCATCACTACCACTTTCCAACTGGGTAGCCCTTTGGCAGGTATGTCTCTTTTTCATTGTATGGAAAACAAGGAAAATAGTTCCCATTCACAAGGCTGCTGTGAGGATTACAGGGACTGGTATCTATGAACATATTAAGAAACACCCAAAAAGCTCCCATTTAGTTTACCTGCAGTATCTCCTTCACCAGACTATACCCTCATAAGAATGAACATAGGTAAACTTTTTCTGTAAAGAGCCAAAGGGTAAACATTTTCAGCTTTGTGGGACATACAGTCTCTGTCACAGCTACTCAACTCTGCCATTGTGTGAGAGCAGTCAGGCACAGACAATACATAAACGGATGTGCATGGCTGTTTGCCAATAAAAGTTCATTGATGGACACTGAAATTTGGATTTCATATAACTTTTACATTTTTCAAAATATTCTTTTGACTTTCCCCCCAACCATTTAAAAATGTAAAAACCATTCATAGCTCACAGGCTGTACAAAAACAGGTGGCAGGCTGGACTTGGCCCAAGACTAGAGTTTGCTGACCATGGCCCAAGGCTATTTCTCCAGGCCTTCACCTGATTTCAAATCTTGGATTTCACCCTGACTGGGGTCCCAGCCTATCATAGGCTAACAGTTCCTGTGAGTTAAGCTACTCTGACACCCAGAGCTTGTGATTTCTTGGTCTGCTGATCAATCCATCGATCCATGCAGAGTGTAATGCCACATCCCCTAACCAAGGTCATTCCAAGAACTCGAGCCCACACATAGAAGGGCCTAATGTGCTCAGAACAAGAACTGCCAGCCCAGGTCACCTATCCAGTTTTCTGGTTCTTTTGTTTTCATTTAGGTCTCCTTTTGGGGGTAGAAGTAGATGAGGAAGGACAAGAGAAGAGGGTAGGCAGGGAGCTGGCAAAAGGAAGGAGTTGGAGGAAATGCTGAATGAATTCTGTTACTGCCTTCAGTTCTTCCTTGGGGCTTATTTATGTGTGCTTTCTGCCTTTTCTGAAAGGTCTGGACTCTAAAGCACCAGGGATGAAGCACCAGGCTGCTAGCTTGAGCAGTGAATTCAGAATTTCACAGTTCTCTTGAGTGCCCCTTGCAGGAGGAAATGCCATAGTCATGTCCCCTCTTATATTTAAAGGACGATAGTCAGCACTCTCCCTGAAGTTACCTAAAACCTGCCCTCTCTCACCAGCATCTTTAAAATCTGTCCTGGGCCTTGGAGAAAACAGGCTGCTGGGGTTTCTTCCAATTTACATAATCATGCCTGGCCACTGAATGCCTGGCAGCAGAGCCTCCGGAATTCTAGTCCTTACATACTCCCCCTCTCCCCACTCTTTTTTTTTTTTTTTAAGATTTTTATTTATTTATTCATAGAGATGCAGAGAGAGAGAGAGGCAGAGACACAGGCAGAGGGAGAAGCAGGCTTCATGCAGGGAGCCTGACGTGGGACTCGATCCATGGTCTCCAGGATCACGCCCTGGGCTGCAGGCAACGCTAAACCGCTGCGCCACCAGAGCTACCCACCCCTCTCCCCACTCTTGTGACCACCTCTGCCCCTCCTCTGGATCTCTCCAAGAGTGTAGGGTGCCTTTAGACCCTGTGAAGCAGTTCTCACTGAGGTGGAGAGGTGGAGGGCAGATGTTTGGATTTGCATCTCTTGCTAAACTGCTGTGAAGGGAAATGCCAAATATTTATCTAAGAGAAGAAATCTATCCTAACAAAACACATTTCCTTTGATGACAGGGCAGCGTGGAGGTAGGTGCCTCTGAATAAAGCTTCTTTGTATCACTGTGGATGGGTACAACAGGAAAATAACTTATTTTTGCTTCAGGGAAATTCTGCTGCCCTCTGTAAATCTGGTGCCCTACCTTGGGGCCAGTCCATACTAGGCATAGGTCAAAGCCTGTGGCAATCACTGCGTGATTATTTACATCCCCCTCCCTCCTTCAAGGGCATTCTCTTCTGATTTTCTCCTCTTCTGAGTCAAAATCTGTGCCTTGAGCCTGCTGAATGTTTTGGCACCCATGGTAAGGAGCACAAACTCCATGAGTGGCAGAGCTTGTGTTCAATTTTTTTTTTGGATGATTATAAACTATTTGCCAATTCATGTAGTTTCCTCTGCCTATAATAAAGTCTTTATCTTTTGCCTGAGGAATTTTTATTCAAAAAGCTCAGCTCAGATAGCCTCTCATCTATACAGCTTTCTCTGCTTCCTCCAGAAGAGAGTTTTCATTTATTACATCACTACTATATGCCATGCTCTGTGCAAGAGGCCTTACGTATGGCAACAACTCTGTGGTATAAGTTACTTTATTCTCATTGAGGACCAGAGAGATCAAGTAATGCCAATGTCACATAGCTATGAAGTTGGCAGAGCCAACTGGAATCCTGAGCTGCTCAGACTGGAGCCCAGGGCTCCATTACTGTGTCTCCCTCTGTGCCATCTCCCCGTTCTGCACATATTTTTACTTTTGCATCATGTTTTTATGAATCTATCTCCCCATATGAGACCAGGTTCCTTTGCAAATGGGATTCATGCAAAGATAATTCATTTCTGTCATTTCTGTATTCTCAATACCTAGAATAGTGCTTGGCACTGAGCAACCACTAATTCATTCAACAGATATTCTGAGTGGCTACTGTGTGCTAAGAAAAACTGAATTCCTGTTCTCAAGGAGCCTAAGCATACAGAGTAGTACAGGCCATGCATGAGACATACACATAAACAGATGTCTGGACTACAAGAGAGAATGTAACATGAGAGGTGAGGGGAAATAAATGTTCTGATGATTTGGAGAAGGATAAAGTGCCAGCCAGGCCTGAGAAGATACCATTAGAGTAGGACCCTTAGGACTTGATGATGTAGGATGGATGGGGGAGGAGCAAGGGGGTTCAGAGAAGGAAGGACATGGGCAGATACCAGCCTTGAAGTATCTGAAGTCCAGATACCAGTTGACAGACGATCAAAGTGACAAATCCCTTCATGCCAGTGAGGGAGAAGAGGACCATTTCAGACTGTGTAGGAGCTGCTGGGAAAAGTCAGCCAACCATCAGATTGAGAAGAAGAACAGATTGAGAAGAAGGTCAGGGCAGACTGTGCTCCAGTGTGGGGGCCAGTGTGGGTGACTGAACAAAGACAATTTCCTGGGGGAATTCTGCAAATATTCTTTCATTATAACAAAAACTGCTATTTATTGAGGACATAGTTCTGATTCTTGTGATCATGACACATGCACTTGTCTCCATTTCACAAGAAGAAAACCAAAGCTCATAAATCCAGCACAGAGAAAAAAAAAGGCCTGAGATTTAGAATCAGAAGATTTTAGTTCCAAGGCTCACCCTTACTTTTCTATGCCAATGGCAGAAATTTTCTGGAAAATTATGAGAATTTATCAAAAGTCTAAAAATATTTATATCTTTTAAGCCAATAATTCTACTTGTTGGGAGATATCTAACAAAGTAACTCTCAACAGCTTAATGCATAAAGATGTATATAAATTGTGGAAGCAGCCTAAATGGTTGGTTAGTAAATAGTCATTTGAAAATTATGATTACAAAAAATGTTTAGTACCATGGGGGTAAATGTTTATATCAAAAGTGGTGATGAGAAAACAGCAGGTTATGGAAAAACAAAATTGCCTAGGTGGTGAGATCTGAACAATTTTAAAAAGACACCTGGGAAAAAGACTGGAAGGAAATGCAATTGCCTCGGATTTATCCAGGCATCTTATGCTGTATAAACTTGAGGGTTTTTTATCTTTTTTGATAGCTGCCCTCAGTGACACCATGTCAAACCCCCTTTTCTCACTGGGTACCTCAATGATGGATGCCAATAGATTCTAAGCTACTTTCAGGAATTAGAATAGTCTCTTGTCATTGAAGATTAATTTTAGATGTTTACACAATAAAGCATTCATTTTTGAAGTGTCCATCTCAAGTTCCCCTTCAAAGCTCCTGCCCTGCCCCCTCTCAGGGATGCTAGACCTGGCCATGGCTCTGGTGGTTTGAGGGGAGAGTGGGGGAACACAGCCCCATCTTCCACTTCCCTGCTGGTTCCTCTCTGTGGGAGGGCTGGGGACAGGACTAGGAAGGCCCAGGTCTTCCTACCTGACAGCCTTGGGGAAGCAGTGGTCTCTCTGCTGGCTAGTTGCTGCTCTTCGAAGCTAACTGGCTGTTGGTTGCCTTCTTCCTCTGTGTGGCAACATCCAAACACTGGCTCTCTTGTGCAGAATCTTTCTGAATCTCAGCTTCCTCACCTGTAAAATAGAAAGGAAATAAACTACCTTATGTGGGTGATGTAGAAACAGAATAAGATAATGCATACAGGAGTACTGTCAATTGTAAAGCATTATGTAAACAATATTTGCTATTATGATTATTCTGAGGAGCCTGTTATTTGGAATATCTACTATTATTTGAAATGGGTACCTCCACTTAGAGATCAAATAAGTATTTCACTTAATAGGTAGAAGTAGAATTGGTGAATTTCGTCCCCCCTCCCACCTGCTCTTCTCCCACTCTTCCCCATCTCAGTTCAAGAGCAACTCCATTCTTTCAGTGATGCAAGCCAAACCCTTTGCAGATGGCCGTGGCCCTCTCCTCCTCTCACACCCTACCCACATCCAATCCATCAGCAGACCTTGCTGATTATACTTTTAAACCAAATCTACAAGTCAGTAGCTTCTTCTTTTTTCCAAGACACCTCACCTATCTCTGACAACTATCTTTCAATTGGTTTTCCTTCTCTACCCTTGCTTCCCTGTGATCTTCTCAACACTGCAGCCAGAGTAAGCTTTGTCAAACCTAAGTTGGTTCACATTACTTTTGATTCTAAACCCCTCAGTGGCTTTTCATCTTACTCAAAAGCAAAACCAAAAGCCCTTGTCAAGGTGTACAAGGCCCCCATATGATCTGGCCACTGATTTCTTCTTTGACCTTGCTCCTACCACTCTATCCTTCACTCACCAAGCTCCAGCCACTCCGTCATTTTACTGTTCCTCTCACAAGCCAACCATGCTCCTGCCTCAGGGCCTTTGCCCTCTCTGGTTCTTCTGCCATGAATTATTTTTCTCCAGATGATCACAGGACTTGCCCCCTCACCTCAACAGAGTTGTTTTCCCTGGTCACCAAGTTTAAAACAACACACTCTTGCCCTATCCCTCTTTCCTGCTTTTCTCCTTTCTTAACATTTAGCACCCCTGACATGTTATATATTTACCTGGTTATGGTCTGCCTTCTCCCACTAAAATGCAGGGCTTTGCCCACTGCTACATCCCCATCCCAACACTCAGCATAGAAATGGATTCCTTCCAAACATTTCTTTATCATGACCATTTCATAGCTATACCTGCCCAAATCCATTGGCAATTTTCATGCCCTTGGGTTCTTCTGAATTGGGTTCCCTTCCTTGTGTATGTGAAAAAACCACATGCTTCCTTCTAGGTCCTGAAGGGTAACAAAAGCCTATTTCCATGTTCAACTTTAAGTGTAATTACCCTGACCCTTGGGGTTTGGGGTTGGAGAGGAGAAGAGGGGATTTGCCCTTAGTGTCTGACCATCTTGAACTCTTCTTCTGATGTCTGTAGCTGGCTGGAGTCTGGCAAGAGGCATTCTCTCACAGCTCACTTTCTGGGAAGCTACACTGTGGTAAAGACAAATACGTGTAAATAACCAAAATGTCATCTAGGAAGCAGGCAGGTGTGGGGCATTTATTGTATTTACAGAGGGTGGAGGGAGGAGGTGCTAGCAGAGCATATACCCAGAGTTCCACAGATATGTTACTGGTCTTTCTAGTTGGGAGATGGGGTCACATAAAACCATGAACTCTAGGGACACTCCCATTTACATTCACCACCCCACTTGGGACAACTTTCACAGGAGGCCAAAATAAAACTGTGTAGCTATTTAGCCTGTGTGGTGACCATGTCTCACCTCAAAGTGCTTTGTCTTACGGGGAAAAGGAGCACATCTCTATTCTCAGTGTAGAGGCTGATCCCTACACAAGGACCAGCTTATTTATTGGCCCATATAGTCATGATACTCAAGGTCTTCAGGTGCTAGCAGGCTCTAACTCTGCTCTGACCTTAGCTGGCACTGGGCTACCTTCCCGGTCCCTTATACAGAAAGCTGCACTTCCCTGAACTGTTTTCAATAAGTTTCTCTCTTCCTCCTCAGACCTGCCTGGACTGGCTAGGGCACTCCACAACAATGTTCTATTTTCCCTTGGCAGAACCTGGCTCTGGCTCCAATCATTGGCCACCAGAGGTACCTGTATGCAACTACTCAGGAGAGACCAGCAGGGAGAGCCAGGAAAATTCAGATTCCTCAGCTAGACAAAAAGGGTCATGGATAAAAGCTACTTCTCAAGAGGTTCAGGTAACTTTCTCATTTAAGATACACAGAATCAAGTGCACTGTTAAAATAGCTGATTGTGAGGTTCAGGTGAGTGGAAAGCCAAATGGAATTCATCCATTCAGTCATCAACAACTATTTATTAAGCACCTACTACTACATGCCAGGCTAGGCATTGCCTATAGAGTATTTAATGACAAAGACTGCTGAAGTCCCTAACCTCATACATTAAAGTTAGTAAACTAGGAGAACAGGTAAGTGGAGGTCTAGGTACTTGGATCAAAGTGAAGATGCTTGACAGGTTCATAGGACTCTGGGAGTGGGAGAGACAAAATAACAGAGTTTGAGACCAGGAAACTCCTGTAATTCTACCAATGCAAAAAACTGCCAGAGAAAGAATGTCAGGCCCAATACAACTGCTAAAAGCAATATAAATGACAGCATACATCTCAGTATCTAAGGGAAATGGCTTCAACAAGTAGAAAGTGAAACCTTGATCAATATACTTACTTTGTTTCAAAATAATTCAGTGGGGAGAAGGAGTAAATGGGAGTAGAGATAAAACAAGATGGGCCACATGTTGATGATTCTACAAGCCAAGTGGCAGGTACTTGCTAATTCATTATTCTCTTTATTTTTGCATATCTTTGAAAATTCCTATAGGAAAAGTTCATATATATCAATAACTTGATCAATAACCACTATAGTCAGGGCACCTGGGTGGCTCAGTGGTTGAGCGTCTGCCTTTGGCTCAGGGAGCCTGCTTTTCCCTCTGCCTATGTCTCTGCCTCTCTCTCTCCCTGTGTCTCTCATGAATAAATAAAATCTTAAAAAAAAAAAAACCACTACAGTCAAGTTGCATAGAAGACACCCTATTTGTTATGGGGGAAAACTGAACATCTCCACTCATCCAAAATTCCTAAAGAGTTCACTGAGGCTGTAGACATTTTCTCTCCTGTCCCCCTTTCTCTCATAGATCTATTGCCAGAGCCCATAGCTTGATCCTTCAAAGAATGGCACAGTGAATGCAAGTTATTCACTGAGGCTCCTTACCTGTGTAATATGCCAAAGTGGGGAAGAAGAAACTCAACCTCCCTTGGGGAAAATACTGGAAAGTAAATTCTGTCCTCCATTGTCCAATAAGGAAGGAATATGTGGTAATGATGATGAGAAGGAGATCAATGGGATTGGGATAGATTCTGCTCCCAGTAGCAGCATAAGGTCACTGGACATCCTTGAACAAATCCCATGATCTCTGGAAGCTCCTCCTTTCTAAAGACAGGGATATATTACATATGAAAATAGCACTTGTAAATGCTTGTTTGGGCAGCACGAGAAGAGTTCAAAAGACAGGTTCTTTCCCATATGTTTCATCGTATAACATTTCAGGAATGGTTATTTATTTATCTTTAAAAGATTTTATTTATTTATTCATGAGAGACACAGAGAGAGAGGGGGGGGGGGCAGAGACACAGGCAGAGGGAGAAGCAGGCTCCATGCAGGGAGCCTGACGTGGGACTCGATCCCCGGTCTCCAGGATCACGCCCTGGGCCGAAGGCGGTGCTAAACTGCTAAGCCACCTGGGCTGCCCAGGAATGGTTATTTACAAATAAGCATATAGCAGATGGTAAGGTTGATGCCACCCTTGACCTCTGGAGAGCTCTGGTTCAAGAAAGAGGTTTTTTAGCAAGCCTTCTACCCCCAGAAACTCAACTCACAACTGGCAAGAAGTACTGGGTCTGAGCTGAGGCAGATGGGAGTAGTCCGAGTTTCTATGAGGATGACCTAAAAACAGCAGCCAACGTTCTCTGACATGAAGGGGGTAGGGCTTGATAGCTAATGAGCCTGGGTCCAGAAGAAACAGTGCAAACAAGGCTATCTAGAAAAGTTAAAAGCAACCCAGAAAACAGGGTGAAATAAGAGCTTAACAAAAATAGCACAGTGCAGCAAGGCAATAAAACAAACACTTCATAATTATTTTAAATGACAAGGGTACTAATTATACAAATGATCCACAAAGAAGTACATGTTCCAAAAATAGTTAAAAGGAAATACCGATCACAATACACAAATGTACTCAGAAACACGCTTGCCATAATAAAAGTAGAGAATTCAAAGCTACGGTAATCAAAACAACATGGTATCAGCATAAAGATTATATATGTGTATATCAATGTAACAGATTTGAGAGTCCAGAAATAAATTCATACATCTAAGGACAATTGGTTTTCCACCAGGTACCAAGCCGTCTTTCAACAAATGGTGCTGGGACAGCTGGATAGACATATGCAAAATAAGACACCAAAAGTACAAACAACCAAAGAAAAAGATAAACTAGATTTCATAAAAATTAAAAACTGTTATGCACCAAAGGACTATTAAGAAAGTGAAAGGAGGGGTGCTTGGCTGGCTCAGTTGATGGATAGAGCTTGGGACTCTTAATCTTAGGATTATGAGTTTGAGTCCCACATTGGGTGTAGAGATTACGTAAAAATAAAATCTTTTGGGGATCCCTGGGTGGCTCAGTGGTTTAGCGCCTGCCTTCAGCCCAGGATGTGATCCTGGAGACCCGGGATTGAGTCCCACGTTGGGCTCCCTGCATGGAGCCTGCTTCTCCCTCTGCCTGTCTCTGCCTCTCTCTCTCTCTCTCTCTCTCTCTCTCTCTTTCTGTGTCTCCCATGAATAAATAAATAAAGTCTTTTAAAAAAAAAAAGAGGGGGATGCCTGGGTGGCTCAGTAGGTTGAGTGTCCAACTTTTGGTTTTGGTTTAGGTCCTGATCTTGGGATTGTGGGATCAAGCCCCATGTTGGCTCCACGTTCAGCATAGAGTCTGTTTGAGACTCTCTTTCTCCTTCTCTCTCTAAAGTAAATAAATAGGGCAGCGCTGGTGGCTCAGCGGTTTAGT